CACAAACCCCTCCACCACGATAAGGTAGCGATTCAAGGAGGGTCTTTGTTCCGTCTGAACATAAAACATTTCTCCAGAAGTCATTTGGCTTGTCCATGTGGGACTCAATATATAAATGCGTTAACTTAAATATTTTAATAGGTGGTTCTGAAGGTTCTACGATCTCTTTTAACTTTGATGTTTCACTACTTTGCCAAAGAAACTACTGGAAGACGAGTGTTAGTATCCACAATGAAGCATTTTAAATCCCAGTGGGCTGAGAAAATGCCAACCAAGAAATGAGCCTCTGCTCCAGAATCGACACCTTTAAGCTCGACTGATATTTGCAGCTGCCCACATGGGTGAGCCAAATGGCTGGTCTAGGTGGAACTTGCCAAGGGAATTTTAATGGAAAATTGGTGGGGTGTATCTATATATTTGAGCCCATGGGTATACTTTTGAACCTGTGTGGATTAGAAAAAAATCCAGAATAAATATAGATCTTGTTTTTAAACTTATTAAAGATGTATGCTGTACAATTATTCCACCCTGGAAAAAGAACATCCCCAAATTACCATGGCATTCATGCCCATGATGAATGTAAATAAACTTCTCACCGCAACTGTGGATGTGACTGGGAAGAAGACATCTTTGAGACGCAAAGAGAATTATAACCTCCTCGCACCAGACAAGCACAAGTATATTATAAATTGGATTTGAATCTTAGTCTCCTGAAGGAAAATCTCGTACCTAACCCATCGTACCACAGATTCTGACTCGGTACATGGTCTTGCTAGCTCTTTACGCTACTTTTACAATTCACTCGGTCTGGTCTGAACATATTTGTGATTAGCCTGTCAGAGCCCAGAGAAGGTGCATGAGTCTAGTTTCCTATCAGACAACTGTATGAAAGGTTGCTGTGGAAATTTCCTTCTGTCCAGTGACGCCAAAAACGCCAGCTCCAGCTTTTTTCTCTGATAAGCAGTGATTCGCAAAAAGCAATAGCCTCAGATTCTGGGACTTTACTGACCTTCAAATGATGATAGCAGCATAAAAAGTACTGTATTAAAATAGAGCTCCCTCAGAGCAACATTCCTTCAGAATATAGTCTCTTCTGTGTTTTTTAAAGATGTCTGAACTTCAGTCTTGCTATCAATTGCTATAATCCAGGTGTTGCCTTTTATTGCTATTCACCATTTTGCTTCAAGAAAATAGCTGCAATATCCACCCGCTTCTTTTCAGACTCTCCTCCTCCTTTGCCTTCCTACATGCAGTAGCTAAGCATCCATGGGTTTCTCCTTTCAGTTTTATTGCAAGTAATTTTTAGTGTATTTACATGTACTTGTCTGTCTTCCTGTTTTTCCGTGTGTCGTGCGTCTTTATGTTCATTCTGTGTTTTTGTTTGTTCGGCCGTTTGCTTGTTTGTCTGTAGCTCAGACTCGTGTGACAGTCATCTGCCAATCATCCGAAGAGGGGAGGGGTCAACAGAGGAGACATACGACGAGAGCTATGTTGAAGACAGGGTGTACCATGAGGATGACCACTCGCTCTCGTCTGACATGTAGCGTTTAAACACATATGCACTCAAAAACAGCAACGAAAAAAAAGCACATTTATTCCCCAAGCCTTTAATATTTCACAACTTTTTTTCTTTATATTATGCACTTGTGTGCTCTTGTTAGGCTGGTGTATCATGATGACGCTTGTAAGCAGTTGACTCCCATGGAGGAAGCGGAGGAAGTCGACGACAGAAGAGGAGGAGGGTGGCAGTCTCCCAGGAGGGTCTTCCTCTGTCCCACTTCTCTGGGTGAGAAGACCCACTTTTTAAAAAAATCTTGCGTATAAATTGCGCCTGCTGTCATTTACGCATCTTTACGTGCTGTGTTTTTGCATATTTGTGGCATTGATATCAGGGCGGAGATCGTCCTTCCATCTGGAGTGTCTCCGGAGACAGTCGAGGCCAGACGTCTCTCAGAAGACGGCTGTACCTTTACATCTTGTACATCATCAGGTAGCCTCAGGACGCCTACATAATAGAGGCAAACACAGAGTTACAGATGCACATAAAAAGATGTGCAGAGAAAACATAATCCTCCCGGCAGCTCCTCTCTAACTCTCTCCCTCTCCTCCTCCAGGCTCTGGCTGTAGCAGGGTTGAGTCCTCTGTTAAGACGGAGCCACTCACCGACCCTCTTCAGTCGGCTGTGCTCCACACCTCCAGCAAGTCCCACAGGTTAACCAAGAATTTTGAAGCACTTTCTGTCCTTGTCATATTAAATCAGTGAGAGAGTTCTAACTAATGTTTATACTTTCCTTAGCTCAATGCAGTGATGCCTCCTACCAGCGAGTTCCCTCTCTGAGGCTAGAGGGCTCCAACTCCCATGAAAAGCTCAATACCAGCTTGCCCTCTGTCAATTGTGGCCCATGGTAAGAAAATAAAGCTGCTCCAAAAACAGTTTAAGCACAAGTGACGTTTTTTAGGTTTAAAACAAATCACTTCCCCTCCTAGGTACAATGACAGTAATGGGAATAGCCCGGTGCCCAGTCCTAGCCCCACCCCTAGCATGCCAGCGTCCAGTCAAAGGGCACCGAGGCCGGTGTCGCTCACTGTGCCGTCGCTGTTGGGGAAAGACTCCAGCTCGCTGTGTCACGGCAGCGCAGGCAGTCTAGTGGAGGCAGTGAGTATGAGTTATATGTAGCTGTATCTGTGTATAGGATCATGAAGGATATTCTCTACCTGTTATTTAGCATATATTCAACACCACACTGTAACACGTGACACATTAAACCTTTCTCCTCTCTGTCCATCCTTCTTTTAATCTTTTCCCTGTCAAGGTCCTAATATCAGAGGGCTTGGGTCATTTTGCTCAGGACCCCTCGTTCATTGAGGCGACCAAAGCGGAGCTGGCTGATGCCTGCGACATGACCATCGAGGAGATGGAGCACGCCGCCAACAATATTCTCAATGGCACCTCGCCCACCAACGCCACATCCAGCACCTCCTCCACCTCTCAGCACAGCCCTAACGGCAACGTCCTCCCCTTCCACACAACAGCAGCAGCAGCATCAACGCACAGGGACCGAGTGGTCGGCTTGAGTCCTAGTGAAGGTGGGGGAGAAGCCACAGGAAGCAGAGGCTCCATACACGGTCCCTCCTCTATAGAGGAGCGGCAGGAGCTGCTAGCCAGAGAGAGAGAACCAGAAGAGGAGGAGGAAGAAGAGGAGGCAGGAGGGAGGGAAGAGGGGCACTACAGAGGCTCGCTTGTGATCGGAGGAGCACGACAGAGGAACAGCGGGCTGTTGGAGGACGAGGATATGGAGTGTGTGACAAGCTTATAGGAGTCAAGTTAATGGGTTCGATCGACGAACTGGCCCCTCTGACATCATCAGAGACTGATGCTTGTCAGGTGCTGCTTACAGCACCGCGGCTGGCTCTGTCTGTCCCCACCCTTCACATACACACACACACATACAAACACACTCTGTCGCTCTGGAGAGTGGCGGCCAGTGATGCAACCTTAAACACTTGGTTATGACTCTGTTAGTCTATGAGTTAGTATATGGATGGATGTTTGCTGTAAAAGCGATATACTCTACGAGCGTGTGCTTACGCACGTTTGTCAGTGTGATCTAGGATTTTTTTTCTATCTGTGCGCGCATGTGCGTGTGTTCTCCACACGTGTCTGAGTGTGTCTCTAAAGTGCCTCACAGTTTTATCATGTCCTCAGAGTGTTAAGCGCAGAAAAGTAGACACAAGCAAAAAAGAAAAAGAAAAGAGATAAAGGGAAGTATGACTGAATGAAGGTAGACAAGAAACAACACAGCCAGGAAGTCCTTCCTATGGTTCTCCTGCAGACAACATAGAGTGTTTAATGTTTTCATTTCCTACGCCTACTTTGTGTTGTTGTTGTTTGTCTGGCCGCCATGACACCAGGTAGGGGACAGCAGACCAGCTTTTGAAAGGGGTCAGTTTGGATTACTGTCTGACCACACCCACTTGAGGTCAAAGGTCAACTCCTCCTCTTTGGTTCACTGATGATGAAGCGCTGTATTGAGTAAAACAGGGATGGAAAAAAAGCCCTGTTTGAAATCTCATTTCTCCTCCTCTTCCAAAGCTAAGGAACCATGGAGCACAGCCCTGCCAGCCTGGAGGTGGGATTGAGGTGACACACCACCTCCAGCCAATGGGGGGGAAGGATTTGAGGGATGGTCCAACAGCCCCAATAAGGCTGCAATAGGGATGGGGGGCCCAGGCAGAGGAAGACACTCTCTGGCCAACAGGAAGCTAGCCAGCTCTTTTTATTTTTATTCCACCGCTGGTCAGGAAAACTCCAGCGAGAGACAAACTTGAATCGTCTGTCAACGTGATCTGGCTCCGCCTCCTCCACCGGGTTTCCTTGTTTGGCCACACCCACTCGCTGCCCCGAACAGGAGCACTGGGTGGCTAAGCAGAGACAGCGAGCCCCCCCTTTCTGCCTCATACCTCGCCGTTCCTCACTCCTTCCTCCCTCCTCTTTGGTTACTTCACCATCCCTCTCCCTCCATCGCTGAGTCTTTTTGCTTTGTCAGCCCTCGGGGAGGCGTGCGTTTGTCGAACGGGGCAACAAAGATGGCGGGGTGCGCGGGAGAACGGGAGTGAGCGATTGAAATGAAAAACAGACTCTGACGTCAATCAAAGACACTTCCTTCTCCAGGACCCTCCTCTTCCTCTCAGCGTGGAATCCTACTGGATTTGCTGCCACACACGATTTCTACAGACCACGCCCACTATGTATTTAACAGTTCAATATTGTGCAAAACTGGCTAGCCATGACTATTTTTGTTTTATATTCATGATGTTATTGGTTTAATTTATCCTTGATTTGTTTGCACAATCGGGGTGCTGGTCTTATAAATGTATTTTTGCTCGGTTTATTTTAGGAGAATTTTAAGAGGTTTTAAGTAACGAAGCAGGGCGTAGTGTTTGTGTGCGAGTGCATAACTATATTTGTGCGTGCGGATGTGTGTCTGCGTTTTAGTACAGGATGTATGAATGCGTGAGATAGAGTGTGTATAAAAAATTGTGGAGGGGGGCGTCTATCACTCTATCAGTATGCACCTTTAACAGATTGAATCTATTTATATATTTATTTCCAAGAAGAGAAAAAATGTGTGTGTGTGTGTTTGAGTGATTTACTTGTGTATTCTAAAAGCTGATTTTAAGCCTAGACAGTAAATTAAGGTAGCATTACAAGTATGGTCTTGTTTGTTTGTATGTACGTGAGGGTGTGTGTGGGTATGTGCGTGTATGTGTGATAATGGGCCTCTTTAACACAGGGTTACCATGGACAGGCATGCTTCCAAAGCTTTGTGATTTCATTAGCAAGATTTTTACTTTTTAGCCAAGCTGCAGACTCAGAAGCTGCTCTGTCTTCAACAACTAGTTTTTGCATAACTTTTCTTTATTTCCCCACTCAGAGGTACTTAACTGTAAGGTCTCCAGCAAGGTCAGAGTGAATTATAGATCTTTCAGGCATTGCAGTTTTTCCAGACGGTAAGAAGCCTTTTGGCAAGTTGCTGTTTTTCTTAATCATGGCGGTTGTTGCTCTGAATTTTAGAAGTCCCCTTATTCATAGCGGCACAGTGACAACTTGTAAAGGAACTCAGAGTGGGGGTGGTACCTCGCGTATCACACATTACACGACCATTTGAGTTTAAACTCCAAATTAACTTTTAGGGCTGGTGTACAGATGCTGCAAGACTTCTGAATCACACATCTTTATATGAGGCTCGTATCATAAAATGTATTTTTTTATCAGGGATGGTTTCAGAGATAAAACCGACTTCCTGTTTGTGATATTTATGATTTACTGGTAAAGACAGTTTTGCTGAAAAAATTAGCATACAAGCAGGAAATTTTACTGATAATTATAAGACGATGATAATTGTTTGGTTAATGTGATAAATTATTAGATAGATAGAAATCACAAAGCTTACATTTTGGATGGAAATTGTATCCTAAGCTACTTTTTTTTCTTTATAAGTAGCCTGAAATTTTTTGATGGATCGTTCTCTTTTTTAACTCGATCCTTGGGTATAGTTTGAATACACTGAAAGTACGACCACTGCAAGGTATTTCATTCAAGCCTCAGCATTTTACACAGGGCACAGGTCTCACTTCGGTACTGTACCGTCTCCAAAAGCATTCCTGACATCAAAATCACCTCATTGGTACCAACTGCCACATGTATTATTATTATCATTATTATTATTTCTACAATTTAATAGTATTTAAAAGTGAAATCGATAAATATGCAGAATGTGTGCAGGTAAGAAATAAAAGGGGAACAGATTCATGAAATTCAGTCTTAAAAATTTCAGAATCAGAGAAACTTTATTAATCCAAGAGGGAAATTGAGTCCCAGAAGGACGAAGATGAAGCTTATTATCAGTTTTATTTTCCAAAAACTAAGCATCTTCCACCTACACTGTAAGACCCTTAAATACAGGTTGTCAATGGCCTAGCAGATGGATTCTCAAATAGGGAGAAATCTAATTGGTGTTAACAGCACTTTCAAAATGCAAAGTACACCAGGAGAATACCAAAAGTCACCAAACAGTGCATCTTCATGTTTTAGTTATGACATTAATGAGTCATTTTAAACCTAAATCACAAGTTTCTCTAGTTAATTCCAAGAAAAATTCGAATACACTGCAAAAGCCTTTGCCATTTCAAGTCATCAGCGATGTTGAACGACCACCTAGAGACACTCGTATGTCTTAACTTATGGCCATTCGTTTCTCTTTAATTTACCATTAAGGACTTACTGTCGAGCTCTAATTCCTTCATGTTAAGCAGAGCAGCTTTGTGGCAGGGAAGGGAGGTATGCATGGACACACTGCCATACACTGCGTCCTGTGCCAGTACCAGACTTCTGACATTATTATGCAAACTAAATGTGAATGTTGAGTATGTTCTAGTGGCAGTGATGATGTTGTTTTGTGGTTATGACACTGCAAACTCTGAAAAAGTCTGTTTTGTCAAAAGGAATTAACCCTCCTAACTTATGCCCCCAAAAAATCATTTGCCTTCATAAAAATACTGTCAACATTTCTTTGAATTATTGTAAAAGCACCTCTTAAAAAATAATAATTTGCTGGCATAAGCTGACAGGACCGTTTGGTGGCTAGTTTTGCTATAAGCTGCAGATCTGGGTAAAGTCAAGAATGTTAATACCTGAAAAGTAGCACCAATCTTTGTTCAGTTCATCAAGCTGAAGTTTAGTTAGCCCTGAGTTTAAAAGTCAATGGTTCTAGCTGTTCTGCTGCAGTGGAGCCATCAGCTTTTTACTATGACTATGACTATTTTATCAGCTAGTATATCAACAGCCATGAATGTGGAAACCAGTAATGAGTGACAGTATTGGATAGGAACATTTCCACAAGATTGCATAACATATTATAAACAGTCCAGGACCATCTCCAGCTGATAAATAATGAATTAATGTACTTAGACTACATTCACTTTACTTTTGTGTTCCTTATAAATTTTAGCCTATAGATAAATACACAAAGCAACCCTGCAAATCAGAAGTACCACCCAGGCTTGGTGAGTGTGATTTCAGAATTAAGAGAGCTGTGGTGCCCCCGTGTGGAGTGGAGCAGCATTGCCATTTTTATGTCCCACATAGAATAGCACGAGATGTTGTGTTGCAGCGTAACGGTATGAGTGGGTGTAATCCTGCAACCCACAAGATATGCAAAAACAATGCAATAACTATGACTGTATACAAGGATCCTGAAGTAAATATGTTTGTGAAAGTGAAGAAAAAAAACAACAACACAGTATCATGAAGCTGTATTATTTTCTGTTTGTTATGTTTTTAAGTCACCTTGGTGGTTTCCATGCCAGAAAACCTAACATACTTGAAATCAGGTACATTGCAGTGAGGTATAGTGCAGATGTATTTATTTTTCATTCTCGTCGCAGGGTGTAGGTCGAGCATGTTCTTTTTTGTTGTTGTTTTTTTTTTTGACGCAGTGACCTGAAGGTCAGTGTTTTCCTCGTGAATTAACAAGCAGTCAGTGGAGACGCAACAAAAGCGACTGACCATATTTCCCCAGGTTACCACTTTCTGACTGTATCTTTTTATGTTGCTTATTTCCCCTTTTTGTTTTTGTTTTTTTAAGAATTAAGCTTGTTGGGTGTAAACATTGCATGAGGTTCACGTGTTGACATTTGAGCGTTCCGGGTTTTGCAGTTGTTTTGTTTGATTCAGGTTAAATATGACTATTTAGTGTACATAAAATGATTAAAAGCAGTATTTCTTCTTCAGAACTGACTGGACAGCAGTTGAAGAGTCCACGGAAGGTGATTTTGCATATCTTGTGTCTTATGTGCTTTTAGTTTATTTTCCTGATGCATAACCCTGAGGAGGACAGCGAGATGAAATTTAAGAACAGATAAATGATAAAGTTTAATATTTTTCCTCTTGCATTCAGTAAATAAGGCTTTGTGTTGCCATATTACTTTTAAATTGATTACTGGGACAGACTTTGATTTAAATCCAGGTTGAGGACAGACAGGCAGGAGTTACACAGCATATATTCAAATGTTTCTAGTCTATAGGATGATATTCTAACATTTTTACTATTCAGTGCCAGTCACAAATAATTTACTAGGCATTTATCATGCTGCAGGTCATATAAACACTCATCATTATGAGTAAAATTGCATTCTTTATTGGTCAAATGTTTGTGTTTCAGCTCAAATGGAAAATAATCTTATACAAAACCTGCAAACAAATCTACTATAAAGACTGGTGTGTAACTGTGCTGTAAACAGTCAGTGTGTAATATGATATTGGTACCAACCTGCAGTGAGGGCCCCTTTGAACAGAGCTGACTGATTATCAGGAAAAGCTCAGGTATAATCATTTGCTTTGATAGGGACCTAATATGCTTTTTCATATTTCTGTCAGCTATATACTGTTACGATATCCTCATATTTAAAGCTTCAAATAGCGTATGTACGAGTATTCCATGTGAGCCAAAAGCTCAAACTTCTGACTGATCTAAATATTTTTTTTCAGATGTTGGCTCTACATAAATATACATATGCATAAATTATCCCAAAATGGTCATTTCGGGCACATATCTTTGACTATGAGCACAAAAGCTCTGCCCGCCTGTGCTTCGAACCTTAGAAATTTGCCTTAAAGGAAGTTGAAACATCTAAAGTTGCTTGTTTCAACTCATTTCACTTGTATTTATATAGTGCTTAATCACAGCAGCAGCCACATCAAAGAGTTGTATCTTCTAAAATGAAAGGTAAATGACCCCTGAGCAAGCACTTGGCAATAGTAGGAAGGAAAAACTCCCTTTTAACAGGAAGAAACCTCAGATAATAGATGAACAGAGAGGCTGCACTAAAGTGCAGTGTAAAGTAAATAAGATTATTTTAAAACGTAAATCATGCTAAACTACTCTGGTAACATCTGAGAATAAGAAAAACAATATTAAGCAAGCATAATGGATCCCCTTTAGTCACGGCTCATTTCAGTTTGTGGTAAACGTGCACCAAACGTGCGTCTGTGAAGCTCTTATCATTTATTAGCCACATCTTCCACCTTGAATCCACTACGTGTGAGGGGGTCTTTTTGTATACTTGTGCTCTCTTTTCCCACATAGACAGATGACAGCGGGTTTAACAGGCTGATAAGCTGTAGCCGTCCTGGATCTCCACCTGCAGCCAGTTAAACTGTAAACAAAGCCCCTCTGCCACAAAAGGGTGCAGTTCAAATGGAAGTAATTTCCTCAAGTGAAAGCAGAGCTGGAGTGGGGAACGGCTTAGTCCCTGACAGATGGGTGACAATCTATTCAGCGGTCGACGACAATGGGAAGACGTGGGCGTTTGGCCTGAGAATGTTGAACGCAGAGATTATTTCATCATGTTTGGATTTCTGGAGGGTGATCTGACATGGTGGATTATACAATACATTTAAGTAATGTTTTATGTGCATAGGGATATAAAATATTGGTCCTATATAAATGATGATATCTTTTGTCTCACCACTAGCCAATGATTGTATATTTTTATATACCATATATAGCAAAATATTTATGAACGTATGATATTTAATCACCAGAATGTTAGATCAAGGAACAGGAAGGACACTTCTATGTAGGCTTGCTGACTAGAGGTCAGTATGAATTCCCACTTTAATGTATTTTTTAAGCAAAAGGAAGCAGCAGGAAATAAGGAAGCACCGAAGAAGAAAACTGAATGTTTAAGCTATGGACGTTTATGGATGTTTCATAGTAAATCGTGGGGCTTTTCAACTTATTGCCCAGATTCTGAGCTGTTGAGGAAGATTCGGAAAGGTTGCTTCACAATCAGCTACACCACAGGAAAGCAATCCATCGCCCCTGCTTGTGACTCCAAAATTAAAAGGCTCAAGACCCCAACTTTAAGCAGCAGACAGATCCAAATCCTGACATGCTTTTGCTCGTGTTTGTTTTTGTGTTTTGGCCAGAGGTCTGAAACGTCCTACCAGCAACCTGTACGTGCAGGTCAGAGTCTGGTTATTACTCCTACTGTAGCACTGAGAGACGTGTCTCTCTTCAAGTAGTCCTACATCAGCAAAACATATACACACTGTACATTTTTAAAAGACCTAACCAAAAATGGCACCTACCAAGGACTAGATATCTTTATGGGGGGGAGGGTTTGAGCCGTTTAAATCGTGTAGCCTCTTTTCTTTTTCTTCTTTTACTTCCAAAAAAGATATTGGAGGACTTGATCTACATGTGTGTGTAGAGTCATTTATTCATCTGCGTTGTGTGCAGAGTAGGAAGTCAAGTAGTTTTGCGCCTGATGAACTAATTCGATAAGATCTTTTGTCTGCATTTACAGTAAAAGCTCCAGACTCCAGTGCAGCAATTTGACCGTTTATTTCAAAGAAAGCAAAATGAATTCAGGTTGGTTTTGCCATATTTATTCACCAACAATGTTATCTGCTGGATTTAGCCTGGAAATACAAACATGGTCACTGCTTCATAAAATCTTGACACTGGGAAGCCACAAAAGGATGACAAGACTGATTTTTATCGTTACGGAGAAAAGCTGCTGTACATTGAGAAATTTTTAATCTGTTCAGTATTTAAAAAAAATGAAAATAAACTAACAAAAAAATAGCATTTTACACACTTTTTAGAAGTATTAGAGTTGTGTGTTTATCCTTAACTTTGCCAGTTCGGAGAGTGTGAGGCTGGAGAGCAGAAGTCTTGTAATCTTTCCCCGTGTCGGTCACTCAGATCTCCTCACGTGGATCTACCATTGTTGCAGCAGATGCATATTATATTTTCTTGTAAATCAAAGCGTTTGTTGATCACTGTTTGATGCCGACAAAGATATTTTAAGATGACTATTTTGAATATAAATTGTATTTTATTTTCCAGGTACAATTAGAATAGCCAGCTGTCGTAGGAGTAGAATTAAAATCATCAAGAGAATCACCTCAGATGTTATTTTGACTTCGATGCTAATGAACGCTTTGGGAAAGAGGGCAGAAACGGAAAGCGGGAACATATTGTTACATGCAACTTTGTACTGCATGTCTTCTATTTTAGATATTAAATAATAGGAATATTATAGCTATATTATATGATATTAAATGACTGTTAGGGGCAGGTTGTTGCAGCTTGTGGGACGGATGAAAGAATCTGGTTTTATTTAAAGAAACATCCTTATCAAGTTTCAGGTGCCATGCTGTGAGTTTATTTATTTAAAAAAGAGAGAGAGAGAGACTGATTTTGTGTGAAGATTTACGTTCATCTGTTTGTTGCTCGTGCAAAGACGTGATCTTATGAAGAAACATCACAGGTCGGTAAGGAAATGCAGTGGGGCACAGGTGCATTTCATTCAGTCCTTGATGGACTAAATGCGATCAAGGACACGCAGCCTGTTTAAAACTACAAATTTGGGTTACATGATCATTACACGTATTTAATCTGTTGGGATCAATGAAATCAATACATCTTCAAAGTAGAAGTGATTGATTTAGCTTTAAATAAGTGATCACTGCTGAATTTCATAGCCAGCTCTTTGCATGTTAAGCAGCACTCGCACATAGCAGCACCCAAACAGCTGATTTTAATCATTTTTTCCCCTCATAGCACCACGTTAAGTCATCAGATATTGGTGGCGACGTTTTTCCAGGGCTGCTAAGCTCTTAGCTGAACCCAATAGATGAAATTTGCTTGCCCAGTGGGTTTAGGAATAATGTATAGACTAGAATTCACTCATCGTATAGCGGCACCTACAACAGCACCTTTTATGTGAATATTTAGTATGACTGTTTTGTCAGGACCTCAAAGACCTTGTGTGTTATCCCGCATTCATTCCAAATCACAGAGAGCCCTGCCTGGCACTCAGTTTTGACACTAAGATTGAGTCTTTCCGTAGCAGCAAACGCGACTCTCTTTGGGATATTACTTCAGAGGTGTGGCAGCAGCTTTACAATGCAGACTTGACTGTCAGCGGTTCTGGTTTTGGAACAGCTTTCACCTCATTAGAACCACGAATGTCTCCGCCTGTATCTGCTTCTCCACTCTTCATTTTACAGACAAGAGCTACTTAACATTGCATCGCAGATGAGAATTATTTCTCCAATCACCCCGTGAATGTAGGATACAGTTATATGCTCTTACTCACGCCTGAGGAGTCACTTTATATTTGTAGATTTTCCTTCTACGTAGCCATTAATAGAAGAGAGATGTTCTGACCAGCACAGACATAAAAGGCCTCAGTTGAGTTAGAAACATAGAGGTCTTGTATCTGTTTGCGCGTGTGCAGATGCAGCTTTAAATAGATGAGTGGGCCCATTTGAGAGCATCACGAGTGTTTTCTTCCATTACTGATGATGCAGGAGCATCTCTTTAAGCAAAGAAGGCACTACCCTGCTTTTGGCCAGCTTGATTTAGTGGCAAGAGAATTGCAGCTCTACGTACAGCACAGTCTTTATCTTCTTTCTGTTCCTCATTTATATATCAGGGCTATGCTGCTCTGTATGATCTTACGTGTACGTCACTACTCATGCAAAGTGTTAAAGGGCCATTAACAGGACTGAGCTGTTTTTCTTCTTCTTCTCTGTCAGAGAGATGTCTGTTGTCAATCCTTGAGTTTATTTTTTTGGAGAGAGGTGATCACACAAAGACCAATTCCTTGTAATATTAGTAGTGACGCTACTGTTAAATGTAGTATTTAATAACAGCACTATTTACGATCAGAAAAATGAACTAGAGTGTGTTATTGTGCTTGGTAGCTTTGGAGGCAGATGGCCATTTTTTTTCTTTTCTTTTCTTTTTTTTGTAACTGAATTCTTTAACGTAAGCCACTCCCCCTCGACTGTGCGAGGAATTTCATTTGTTCTGAGGTTGCTAAGTGACATGATCTCACGATTGACACAACCTTTTTATTTTTTCTTCCTCTCGTTCTGCTTTTTTTTTCTAAAAGAGAGATCTTGATTTTTTTTTTCTCCTTCATTTCATTTTAGATTTTAGAAAGGGAAAGAATACAAATGAAATAAATCAGAATATTAATTCAATCACTTTTTCTACTCCTATTTTCAATAAAAAGTGAAAGAAAAAAACCAAACAAAAAGTTGATTTGTAAATAAGTAATGTACAGTTTGTATCTGTAACTTGTCAGTCTGTCATTGGTGACAGAGTCTGTCTTGCTTATAACGCACGCTACAAGTAAATAAAAAAGGAAAAAGTATATTTAGACTGTATGGTCCCTTGAAAGCAAGTTTTAAATTAATATCTGATGTATATTCCTGTAACATTGCATTTTTATCTGAGGAATGATGTTATTAAAAAATTGCAAATAAATTGCATTTCCTACAGTGGTGTGTGTTTTTCACAGGTTTCTATCCTCACATGTTCCTCAATAGACTAACTCTGCTCTCTAAACATGTCCAACTTTGGAAGAAAATGTGTTCACTCTAAGTTTCCAGATGCCTACGTTTGTAAAGGACTCTGTGGATCAGTCCTGGCTCTTTCCAAAGTTTGAATGCAGAAGGTGTCATTGAGGGAGAGGTGGTGTGCCTGATTTGCAGAAACTTTAAGATGAATGCTGGGAGGACATTTCCTGGCTTCTTCATTGTAACAAATAAATGTTAATCACTTCACCTGGCAGCAGTGAGGTGATCCCGCACAGTAAGACAATGCCAAAGAAACAACTGAAACTTGAAATGACACTCAGGCGCTAACGGATGTGTAGATTGCACCGGTTTTCTCTGACGTTTCGGGTTGTGTCCTACAGAGTTTTTGTTTCCCTGTTGAAAAAAAACACCTTCCACAAGTCAGAATTTAAAGTTGTTGAAACTTTGTTCAAGTGAATACATCTAAATTTTGAGAAAACCCCCAAATTTTAAGATAATTACATTTTTGATAAGAATGACAAAAAAAATTCAGTGGCACAAGAACATTCATAGGATTCAACTCAAAGGGAAGGCTGCAGGTTTCTTAAACAGGGATGAAGTTAGAATAGTTTTACAGAGAGCTGAAAAGTGAAAGTGTTGCATATTTAACCAGCACTCCACCCAGAAAGCTTCATCATCAGATTTTCTACACTACAATGTGAGCGAGTGTAATGGTGTGTGAAACTAAAATGAAATTGACATCGCTGATGGTAAGCATATGCTCAAGTGCACTTTAATGCCTGCTGAATACACTGAAGAAAACAAAGCTTATACTTCCAGCGATTGCATGGTTAATGCTTCCCACACTTATTTCTTCGTACAGAAGGTAGTTCATTCTGGAATTCCAGTTTGAAATAAACTTGTTTGACTGACAATAAAATAAGAACTGCAAACTACATGTGGGGTTTATGAGTGGCAAGGTGTCTTTTCAGATTCCCCTGCTGCGAGAATTCTCTCTCGCAGTTTGGACACTTGAATGGTTTCACCCCATTGTGGCTGAGTGTGTGTCTCTTTAGGCAGTTTAACGTAAGGAAACGCTTGGGGCATTCAGAGCACAGGTATGGGCGCTCCCCTGTATGAGAGCGCATGTGGACATTTAGGTGACTTTTGCTGGAGAAACCCTTCCCGCACTGGACGCAGGTGTAGGGCGTCTCCCCCGTGTGAGACCGAGTGTGCAGCAGCAGCTCGCCCGAAGACAAGAAGGATTTCCCGCAAGTGGTGCAGAGGTAGTTTTTCTCCCCTCTGTGCATCTGCATGTGTCTCGTGATGCCAGCTTTGCTGAACCATTTCCCGCAGATGTTGCACAAGTTGGTGGGACCGTTGTGGAGGCGTTCATGCTGCTTGAGTGAATACCTGCACAGGAATCCCTTGTTGCACTGGTTACAGATGAATATTCGTCCTCTCTTATGAAGCCTCTGGTGCTGATAAAAGCCTGATGGGCTGGTGAATCCTTTCTCGCACTGGCTGCAGCGGTAGGGGAAGCTGTGGAGCTTCATGTGAGCCTTCAATTGATTTGGATGTTCAAAGAACTTTTCACACATCGGACATTTGGTTTCTTTCTCTGTGAAGTTTTTGTTCACAGGTCGCGTGCTCAGAAACCTTCTGTCTTCCTGCTTGGGCTCTTTCCATCTACGCTTTTCCTTATTTTCTACATTGTCATTTTTCTGCTTGCATTCCCAGTTTTTAGCCACACTTTTTGGTTCGGTTTTCCTCCGTTTGTCTGGGTCACCTTTTACTTTATTTTTCACAGCATTCTGACGTATCTTCTTCCTGACTTTTTTCCCAGAAAAGTTTGTGTGAATAGAAGCGGTTATCTGGTGCTCACTCTGGATGTGCTCCTGGACTTTTCTCTTTATGCGATGTGTGAATGAGCACTGAGGGCAGATGAATAAACAAGAGAAAGGACCTGAAAACAGTACAAAGCACAGCAAGTCAGAGAGATAAGACTAACTGATTCAAGAGTAATATTGGTCTCCTACTTTTTTTTCTGACCTGGTTTCTTTTTTGGCAGCCAATCATTTGCCGTGACATCAAAGCTTTGACTTGATTCTTCTTCTAAACCCTCCAGTGATGGTGTTTGTTCTTCACCGTCATGATCTTCCTGACTATAAGCCTCAGTGAACCTCTCTGCGACAGTTTGAGAAGGGAGGGCTAGTGTGGACAAAATGACATCGTCCTCACTGCTTGACCGTGCTGTCAGAGAAGAAAGCCCGATATATGACACATTACTCACTCATTTATAATACTTCATTAAAAAAAAAAAAAAAAGGTTCTCACCTGAACTTAGAGTCCCCGTCTGCCTGTGATGATGCAGCAGGGTCTTCAAACTGAAGGGTTCAGACAGATGGAGTCCAATTTCTTCTGATACATGTGTTTCATTGAGCCAAGCTGCTGTCTGAGATGGAAAGAAAAGACCACAGAAATGCAGGTTGTAAGAGAACAAAAAATCTTAGAGGTTACAAATTTTGATCTCGTGCTGCAAATTACTTTTGTAGTACTGCTGGAGTACCTGCTGCAGGTCTGGTACTGGCAGCAGCTCTTCAAGTCTGGACAGAAAGACGGACACAAGCTGCTGGATCCTTTGGTTATAGATGGAGCCGTAGTTGGCAGGAAAAACCTCCTAAAGAAATCATATCTGAACTATAGGTTCATCTACTTGATGAGAAGCATAGATTATAGATTATACATTTAATACAACATGTAAATTATGGTACTGTGTGCAGAAAACGAAAAAAACAGATTGTGGCTACCTTGTGACTGATAAGTTAGAACCATATGAGCCACTGATTGTAGCTAAATCAGAGGCTTCAAAACTTATGACTTGTGAATTTTTCAGAAACCAACTTACCTGAAAAAAGAACTCCTTCTCAAAAGGAACATTCAAAATGTTCTGAACCAGGCTAGCAAAGTTGCTGTATGATGTCTTCAATATATCAGAACTGGCCTGTCAAAAAGAAGACACACAATACAGGAAAAAGGCTTTTTTTCTGTATTTTTAATCTATCTTTTCCTAAAGCTCATTGTTTGTCTAATTTTTTGTTTGCTTGCTTGTTTGTCTTTTTAAATTTGGTGATGAAACAGCTCTGAATTGTCTTTAAAAACACCCACCATCTCCTGATTAGAGCTCAGCTCAACACTGCAGGTGTGGATTTTATCTAGTTGACTCTGGATCATCTGCAGGTTGGATACACCATCACCTCGACACAGCTCAAGAACCAGCTGCAAAAAAAAAAAAGATCACGACATACTGTGGAAAAAAAACGACTGCCACTATGAGCAGAAGCACAATATTTAGGCATGTAATAACAAGCAACACAAAACACTTCAACTTCGAAAGCAACAAAAATGTAATGAATGAAATGATGAATAACAGAACTCGTGCCTTACATTAAGTGCTGTGAAAAAGTATTTGCCACCCTCCTGAGATCAGATTTTTGTCTGGTTCTCACACTTACATCAAACAAGTTGCAATATTAGACAAAAATAAGCTGAATAAATAACCTAAAAAAAAAAAAACTTTCAGGGCATGACCCGATAGCTGGACATTCTCCTTTAGGATTTTCAAGAATAGAGCAGAATTCATGGTTCCACCAATTATAGCAGGTCATCCTGTCCTGAAACAACAAAGTAGCTTCAGACTGTCACACTACCACTTCCATGTTTTACTGTTGGTATGATGTTTTTTTTAAAGAAATGCTGTGTTACTTTTATCCCAGATGTAACAAGACTGTTTTGCAACCACCTGGATGAGTTGTCGATGTACTCTTGGAGCACTTTTGGTAGGTTGGCCACACCTGGGAACGTTCACTAATGTTCCAAGTAGTTCAATTAACTACCAAAGCCTTTTAAATGTGGTGAAAATGTAAATTGTGGTTAACAACAATATTCAAAACCTACCATATATATTATTACTTAGACATGCACTAGCACATTAAGGTGAAGGCAGGAAAAAGACCCTCTGAGGGGCCACATAGATAAGTACTACATTAGTATAGGTTATTAATTCCTCATCTCAGCTTCACTGACATTAAAATGTATTTACAGTTGGGACTAATCCCTTACCCTTGCTCTCAGGCCCAGGATGAGCTGAGCCTTCTGGGTGGGACTGAGCAGCTCTGGGACCATCTCTGTTGCCAAACTGATGAAGTCCGCCAGCTTGTCATACTGCATCACTTTGAGCTGCTGCGCTACCTGCCACACGAAGGCAGACATGAGTCTCACTGGAGGGACAAGGAGACGCAGAGAGGCTGGAGGAAGAACACGGTCTGCCGAAGACACTGGAAACAAAGGTTTTGGAGTGAAAGCACCACATAATTTAACTAGAAACTGCAATTAACAGGTTACAGCTATACGAATAGAGAGAATTAGCAACGTTAGCTTAACAGCCTAATTGTTTTAAGAAGGCTTCTCTGAGCTAAAGAAAATAAATAAACCTACTAGCAAACAAACGCGCAACATCGCACAAACCTTCGCTTTTCCACGCCATTTTCGTATTTTACATATTTCTATAAAATTGACTGATTATTACTTCTGCAGACATCCTAATAAACACGGAAATAACCTCTAGGTAAAGCGGATGTTATGACGATATCGTGCCTTCAAAATAAAAGCAGACAGCGAGAGGACAGTTTTAGCTCAAATGTGGTTCACGTTTACTTTTTTCTAATAGACTAGAAAAGAAAAGAAAAATCATATTTTTTTCCATATGCTATTTTTTGCCCTTTTTTGTCTCTAGTGTTGCATTCATACATGTTTACTTACAATTGGGCTTTTATTTTTGTACTTATTGATAATGTAACCGTTGTTTCCAATTAATAAAATCCCAACTCAGTCTTTTAAATCAGTGCTTGGACCCTGTTGATATCAGGGAACATTTAGTGCAAAAACAAAAACAAAACAAAACAAAACAAAAACACACACAACAAAAAAAACACAGTGGAGAAAAAATGGGAACACCCAGTTTTTACACACCCTGCTACTATCAACCAGGGTCGGCGGGCAGCTGGGAACTCGTTACTTTACTGTTATGTGTCAGCATGTCAGCAAATCAGTCGTCGTCATCATGCTAAGAGGTGTTCGGTTTAACTTTAGGAAACACCTTTTCCCAGCCTTTGGCTCTTTTTGCGCGCAAACTTGAATAAAGACGCTCACCTGTCGCCATGGCACGAACAAGCAGAGGCGCACCTAGATCTGACGAGGAGTTTACGTTTGTCAGCCCAGCTGTGAAGTACCTGCTGTTCATATTTAATTTTATATTTTGGGTAAGTAATCGCACGCTATTATAAAAGCATTGACTGACTGATCTCAGCGTGTGGTGACCTTCATTTTAGGAACTCTGTGTGCTGGTTAATCATTTGTCTTTGGAGCTTCCAGGGGACGTTTGACTAACAAATAGTTCAAAGACGTTTATGCTGTGATTTCAGTTATGCCAACCATGTAAGGCATCACTTCCTTGTCAGCGGCCAGCAGAACACTTTGCTGCTTTGTTTCACTTAGTTGTTCTTTAACTTTGGTGTTCAGAGTGAAACTGAGGGAAAGAGTAGAAGGGAGAAGGAAGTATGGGTCTCACTCACAAAGGCATACACACAAACAAATACACCAGGTGTTCTCAGCTCAGTGTTTAAACATTGACTAAGTTTTATTCTCACTTTGAAAATCAGGATTGGATTTGGTCACCTCAGTCAGTGCTGTGGTTTGTTTCAGCCACCAGAAAATGTGAACACAAAGGAGTTTTCCCAGTTTCACTGATTTCCTTTTTTGTTACATACTCAATGCCAAGCAAACTTTCAGGGTCAATGTGCTCATGGGGCCACACCTTTGTTTAATGTCCCCACCTCACATCTGTTTCCTGACAGAGGTTGTCCCCTGTGCCAGGTTGTGCAGGTGGTGATACATCTCTATTTCAACAAATGACTGAATAACATCATTCAAATTAAAATTCCGCAAATTATGTAAAACTGCGAAGCTCAGAAGGTTGGTTGTAAACAAAACGTTCCCATCAGTGGGTTGCGGTGTCAGGTGACCGTGGGCCAGAACTTAAGGAGATTTCTTACAGCATTTTTAGAGTTGATCTCTTGTTGCAGATTTAACCAGCTGAGGTTTAGATCCATGTGAGGAGACTAACCCTTTTTCAGGAAAATTAGAATGCTTAAACCAAGATCTGACATGAAGTTTTAGTGTTTTTCTTATGTCCTTGCTCAGTGTTTGTAGTGTTTCCTTTGCACATTCTATTATATTTGTAATTGTTTCATTTTTTGCATGTTTTTTTTTTTTTTTTTTTGTGCATAAGTGTGTCAGCAGTATTGAGGCAGTGCTCGTGTACAAACAGGATAAGTCTGTAAAAACTTGTATGGAATGTGTTGTCATTTCTGCTCCCTCCAGCTACAGTGAGTCTCGTAGTGCGCGTCGCTTCTTTTCATGGGAATTACTGACTCGTATGCAGACATGAATTACCTTCCTAATATCACCCCTGTGGTTTTTTTTTTCCTTTTTTTCCCTTTGACTGTGAAACTAAACCCTTCCAAAAAGACAAACCTGACCTCTCTCTCCCACCACATTAAGGCGCAGTGTCTGCAGTAACTCGATCTATGTCATTCAGGCTGGGAAGAGTATTTACTATTATTCTATTGAGACTGAGAAAGCAGTGCAGAGTGAAAGAGCCTTTATTTTTTTAATGAAGTCTGCAGGTTGCTGTAGGTTAATATAGTCAGATTAAAGCAGAGAGACTGGAAGAATCTCCTAGTTTTAACAACCAATTGTTGGTGATGCAGTTTAACACTGATTCAGAGTGAATGTTTCTGGAAAATCATCAGTGCAGCCTTATCGGTGACTCATGTGTAGCCACTGCACATTTTTCTTATTATTGTAATTGAGTGTTCTGGAAAGATGATGATGCACCCTGTACAAGCAGAAACATAAAAGAAATATTTCTTCATATTCCCCTCGAGTGCATATTACACTTCACTTCTAATTTTTTTTTTTAATTGCCCCAAGGATAAAGAAATCTTGGGTAATCTTTTTTTCTATGTGTTTGTTCTCAGATAATTTCTCTGGTGTTGGTGTTAATCGGAGTGTATGCCCGCATTGTGAAACACGCAGGTAAAACAATTCTCTATTTATGAAGCATACAGTCTCTTTTAATAACACAGTGGGAGTCCCATCACATATAGGTAGAGTGCTTTTGTTTCTGTAAGGCTTTGTTAGTCCACTTTTTCACTAAAAACATACTTGAAAATGCAGTTTTTGAATTATATTTCCAGAAATGTTTCCCAGCCTGCCCTCTCTGTCTGTGTTATCCTTTGAGTGTCTTCTCTCTCCCCTTCTGCTTTAGAAACAGCGCTCGCATGTCTCGCTGTGGACCCCGCTGTAATGCTGTTGATCGTGGGGGTCCTCATGTTCATCATCACCTTCTGCGGTTGTGTGGGGTCCCTCCGAGAAAACCTCTGCCTCTTGCAAACTGTGAGGAAGAAGAATTTAATGGATTTTAAAGTTTTTATTATATCTTTAAGGGTCCAAATGCACAATCTTTTAAGATCATTGGTTATATTTGTGCTATCTATGCCAAGCAAACAGGTTACACTAGGAAACCATTAAAATATTTTGCTTCTAGAGTTCACTAGTTGTTCTCTGCTTTCTTGCTTAATTCTGGACCTTTTTTTTTACAAGTGAGGCGCTCATAAGCAACAGCTTCATGGAGACACAGGAGGAGGTTTAAATTACAATGTGGTAACGACTGCTCTTTTTCCCTCCTCCCAGTTCTGTATCTGTCTGATCGTGATCTTCATCCTGCAGCTGACTGCTGGTGTCCTGGGCTTCATCTTTTCAGATAAGGTAATCGAACAATATGGACTGTTCTATCAATCAGAATAATTAAACACGAATGTATTTCAGTTCTCTGTATTCTCAACTCTTTCAAAACTTAAATAGGTTTCTTTTGTTGCTCATTCTATAATAAATAACTTTGGGTGTAATAGTCTTTTGGGGGCTCTTTATCATTTGATGATTTTTATACAGTTTTGTTTTATGTTTATACAGAATATCAGCACTAGTCATGTGAGAGGTTATACAGTAGCTTCACATTAATATAAAACCTTGAAAAGCATGCTCCAAACTGGTGCTTAAGACTACTTCTTTTGCCTATTAATGATGTTGCACATGATATTAATTTTCTTTTAATTAAAAAAAACCCCAAAAAACAGTTGGAGTTTTGATCTCCTCCATACCTGCTTCATGCCCTGGAGGACGGGGCTGTGGCTCCCCACACCCTCTAACAGATCATTACATGTAGGAACCTTTTAAAAACAAGCGCGTTCATGCTCACAGGTGTACACACGGGTGCTCACACACACAAACTACACCTTTTTGGCTCCTACCTTAAAGCACACTGTGCGCTGTCGATCTTACGTGCTGCACAATAATGTTTAACACTTAGTATTTACTGTTATATTCCCATAGATCATCATGATGTTGTTTATCCCTTGTTAAATGCTTGTTTTCTTTTTTCTTTCTCAACAGGTGATCCAGGTGATTGATATATGTATTTTTGTCTGCTTATTTTGTTGGTTTTTGTTTTTTGCCCTTTATCCCCGTCCCTCTTCTCCGCTGTTTTTTCCCCCTCTTTCTTTCTCCCTTTTCTTTTCCTCATTCAAGTCTGTCCCGTATCTAGCAAGTGAAAATAAAAATAAAATAAACAATAAAAGGTGAATCAAATAGACCATTACGGCAAGGCTGGGATGGTCCATTTGGTAAAGTAAATCCGTTGGGCATCTTTCTTCGCCTTTAGACAATAATTCTGATGGCAAAAGAGCCAAACGGGACAGGCAAAAAAAAAAAAAAAAAAAAAGATAAATTAGGTTGCTAGGCAACATGATGACGTTACAAAATGTGACGGAGATGAAACTCTTCAAGGCCCTAACATGTACATGTGTGCCACGTTTGGTTGCTCCAAACTCCTGATCTTGTCAGAGTTGGCAGCCAACGAAGCAAACAAACACACACAGGGAGAGAGGTTGTGTATTATAAGATGAGAGCGCCCTCTGCTGCACTTTGTCCATATTATTCTAGATTTATTTCATTGTTTTATTTACTTTTTTTATCCATAAAATACTTTTTCATTTTTCTTTCAAGGCAAGAGGTAAAGTGACCGAGGTGATCAACAATGCCATTGTCCACTACAGAGATGATATTGATCTGCAAAACCTTATTGATTTTGGTCAGGAAGAGGTAAGGATTTAGCCTGAAGGTGGAATTGTTGGGGTGATGACAGCCTTTTAGGTGGCTACTCCATCTTCTGATCTCTTCTGTCTCATCAGTTTGACTGCTGTGGTGCTTTGAGGTACTTGGACTGGTCACAGAACATGTATTTCAACTGCAGCAAGGACAACCCCAGCCGAGAACGCTGCTCTGTCCCCTTTTCCTGCTGTATCTTAAGAAATGACACGGTGAACTTGCTTTTAAGAATATGCTGATACTGATCTTTGTGGTTCATTTTTGTTGTTTTTCATGTGTTTTAACTGTGTGCTCGTTTGCGGGTAGGTAATCAACACCATGTGCGGTCACAACATTCAGGAATTGGATTACATCGAGGCTGGAAACCGCATTCACACCAATGGCTGCATAGACAAAATAGTTGATTGGATCCACAGCAACCTGTTCTTACTAGGAGGCATTGCGCTGGGACTGGCTATACCACAGGTAGAAGATTACATACCAACACTCACACAGCTTCTAATAGAAGAGACACATGTTCAACCTTCTGTCATGTTTTCTGGTTTGCAGCTGGCTGGAATGCTTTTGTCTCAGATTCTGATGAACCAGATCAAAGACCAGATCGAGCTGCAGAACTACAACCAGAAACACAGCTCTGACCCGTGGAGCTGATCCAGGAGACACCAAAGTCTGATGAGGAGAACAGGAAGCATGTAGACACCAGCATAATCGGGGTTGATTGGTAGAACTAAACCAATAGAGTCCTTTGAGCCTGTTATGATTCTTGGACAAATGACACACAGACAGACCAAATGCTGACTTTTGAAAGGGTTACTTTAAAAGCAAACTTTATACCCAAGCAAGGGCAGAAGGTATATTTGGTGCTCAGGATGTTACGTTTTAGTGAGGAGATGCAGTCGAAAATATCTACAAGAATTTTTAAAAAAAATTATTTTGTGTTATTTTATTACAAAAGTTTAAAAAAAACTTTTTTAAAAAGCAAAAAGCATAATTTTATCATCAGTGAGGTGGCTCTGATTTTTTCAATGTGCTGAAAATTACTGTAAATCATATATTGTTTAATGTCATCCTTTAGAACTGTGTCTGTCACTCAAGTTCGGCATACTTAAAATGTGTCTTGAGACAAGGCCAAGCCAATGCATACAGACCATTTTGTGAATAGTTTCTTCCTCTTTCGAAAGCTTGTATTACCTCAATGCTCCAGAACCTCCCCCACCCTCCGAACATGTTACAAAGTTAAAGCAATAACATACAGTATGATAAACAGGTTTCGTTCGACAAAAACCGCAAGCAAACGTTTACACTGCTGCTCTGACCTTTCACAATCATGCTGCCATGTTGGCCTGCTCAATTGTTCTGCCAAGACCTCACACTGCACATGATGTCATCGCCTCCTTTCATTTTGGCCAGCTGACTGCCTGCATGGCTGTGGAGACGCGGGATTTTCTTGTAGGGTGTATATTGAAATACGTTGCCATTGCAAATAAATGTTTGCCAAACCACACAGTTCATATTCTTGTGTTTGGACTGAACTAGTTTAAATTCTGAATCCTTCTTGCTCTCACTTTATTTTAAAACTAAAATATAGAAGAATTCTTTTAAAAAGAGGAAAACAAATGTCTGGAGTGCTGTTGAATCACCCTCTTGAAGTAGTTATTCGTACAAGCCAGTTTGTACTTTGTGACCCGTCACTGTGCAGACTGACCTCCCCTGACTGAGGGGGGAAAATATTTATTCACTCTGAAAGCAAAGCAAAGTCTGGTTCTATTGAAATGTTTTGTCAGGATTAGCTTCAGCTTAGTCATAAATGTTTACTGCTTCATGAAGCTGTAAATTTACAGTACTGTGCAAAAATCTTGAGCTACCCTTTTTTTTTTCTTTTTGGTATATTGCTTGGAAAATGGGAAAGGTGTAGCAGTGACTTATCGACACACATGGAAATACAGTATATAAGGCAATTCTAATGAGCTTGCGAGTCAGTATTTGGTATCACTGACTTCATTCTTCAACACAACCTCTATTAAACAAGCTTTCCTATAATTTCTCGAAGTATTCTTCAGTAATAATTCTCCAGGCTTCTTGAAGGGCATTCAAGTCAAGGCAATGGCCTTGCGACAGACTGGCGACATGTCCAGGGTGTACCCCGCCTCTCACCCTATGACAGCTGGGATAGGCTCCTGCGACCCTGAAAAAGGATAAGCGGAAGCGAATGGATGGATGGAATTTTGAGGTGCAGATTCTGGGGGTAGGCAACTCCAGGCCTCGAGTGCCGGTATCCTGCAGGTTTTAGATTTCACCCTGGATCAACACACCTGAATCAAAAGTTCATTACCAGGCCTCTGGAGAACTTCAAGACATGTTGAGGAGGTAATTTAGCCATTTAAATCAGCTGTGTTGGATCAAGGACATCTAAAACCTGCAGGACACCGGCACTCGAGGCCTGGAGTTGCCTACCCCTGGTCTAGTCCATGAGTCAAAGTGTTCTAGTTGATATTGCATGCACAACTGGAATCTGAGGTTACATTTTCAGGTACATAATTCCATCAATGTTGACACAATCTCCAACACCACTGGCTGAAATGCAGTCCAAACCATGACAGAGCCTTCACTGTGTTTTACAGATCCCAGTAGACTACTGGACCTCTCTCCTGACCTCCATACATATTGATAATGATTTGAACCAAAAATTTCAAATTTTGATTTAACCCTCCCAAGGACCTGTTTCCTCTGATTTTTCAGTCTGATGTTTAATTTGGCAGACCTCAGCCTTTCTTTACTTCTTTTTTTTCTATTTCCTCTGTTCCTTAAGGACATGGCTTTCAGGTACTGTTCATCTGTTCTAGATAGTTTTTAGCCCACCTGTTCAGTTTTCTCAAAATGTTTCAGTTTTCAGCTAATTGCTCTTTGGGAATCACCTTGTTGGGGCAGAAATACTATTTTATCCCTGTAAACTGTGTTATTGTTGCCATTTTTATAGATATAGATTCTGACAGGCTACTATGAATAAAGTGTCTAAAGATCCTATTTGAATTATGGTCTTTACCAAGTTGTCTGTTAAATGTAAACACATTTTGAGTTAGGGGAGTTTAGGGGGTTAAATCAGTGGTAAGTGGTTTAACAAACAACAAGTCCTCTGAAAATGGTAAGGTACAAGGAGCGAACTCCTTGGAAGCAAAGAAAATGAAAATGGGGAGTGGCTCGAGACTTTTACACAGTACTGTACATATTCATTAAAAAGAAATGACACAAATCCTGTTTCCTAACTGGAAGAGTTAACTGGCACAATTTTTACTTCTTACCCAGGGAGCTCTGCGTGGCCAGAAGTCTAATGTAACTGTGAAGAAGCAAACACCAACATGACCTCTTATCTCCACCCCATTTCTCTCCTTGGCAAATGAAAACCTCTGAGGAGATCTCAACTTCAAACCTGATGCCTGTGATGTTTAGGAGCGCACACAGTCCTATGTTTGTAGCAGCCTTTTTTTTTCTCCCAATCTAAACATGACATGTCTTTGTGAGTTTAACTCCCCTCTTAGATTCTCACTTCATTAGCACTTTTCAGAGACCTGAAATTATGTAATTATGCAGAATAAACTGATGACAAAGTGACAGTTCAAACCGCAGTATATCGCTCCGTAGGTGTCCCTTATTCTAGTCAGTGAGTCAGTGTGTACATGAGAGTTGGAGTGAGTGTGTGTTGGCCTGGGCTCCAGTGCTCTGTGTGTGGTCCCCGTTCCTCTGACTCACTGAGGCAGCCGTGTTACTGTAGGTTTTAAAGAGGCCCATCTCTCCACACACACACACACACACACACACACACACACACACACACACACACACAACACACACACACACAACACACACACACAGACACACACACACACACACACACACACACACACAGACACAACAGACACGACACACACACGAACACAGACACACACACACAGTCATCCAAATACCACAAGTGCACTCTCCAATTAGAGCAATATCAACAACATGGTGGAGCTTTGACCTTTTAGGTATGTGCTTTTTCTGGTATCCCGCCATAGTCAAAAGAAAAGAACGATAAGTGGATGAGCCTAAAATAATTTGACTGTGTGAGTTCTGTCCGTGTGTTTGTGTTTTTATTAACAGTATAGCCACCTTAACCAGAAAAGAGGAAGTTCAGACCATTATGAGTGTCCCAAAGGAAACTAATTTTGAGTTGTGCCCCTCCCTCTCTCTCCCACACACAGATATTCCGATGTCATAATCGCTAAGCCTTCATGTAAACAAATAATAATCCCACACGATTAATAATAAAGGTTGTGGCTGGTGAGCACCTTAAGACATTTTATTTTCACTAGAAAGTCTTATGTAATGCCTGCAGATGTACATTCCAGTGCAAGGAGTGTTTACTCTGCATAACTGTGACCAAAAAAACAAATGTCATCAGCACAGATCAGCCTGCACGTACACTTTCTGTACATCCAACGTTCTCCATGTGTGACCTGCAGGTAAGTGGCTGCTCTAGAAAGCATTTTAAGCACCCGCTGTTCTTCATTTCATCCACAGTTCATGTTATAATATAAAAACAAACTGTTGTATTACCAATATACATACTTTGAAGAGATGCATTACAAATGCTGGACATGCTGATGTTCTACACTTACACTCTGTGATCAGAACTTTGAGAAACCCTGATTTCTATTCCACTGTTAACACTGTTGTTGCAAAATGCATAGAAATACCATACCCATACATATTTCTTATTATTTCTATTTGTGTATCCTATTAGCTTGTGATTTCGTACCTATTCAAAGATAATGAAAAAGCTCATAACAGAATTATGCAGGGGCTGTTATATATGCAATGTAATTAAAATTGCTCTGAAAATGTCTGAGGGTCACCTGGGATCCTACACGGGGATGAGAGAATGCAAATATTTCATCTTTACTCCCTTCACATTGTCAATAAGAATAAATTACAAAACCCTTCTCACATGAGAGTTAACCTGTCAGACCGGAGAGTCGGTGCTGTTTTGGGGTGGTGGTCCTCGAGATGAGAAACTCTGAGAAGGTCTGCCATAAGGCACATTCTTCTACTTGCAGAGGGGGATGGGAAGGGAGGTTTTGTTGCCCTGGCTTTCCCCCACCATGTGCATACCAGAGATACAAACCCCCCCCCACCAACCAGCAGACAGTGAGTGCAGCTCACAGGGACTTAACAAAAACCTCTCATCAGACACTTCACCCGGAGAAAAACACTTCTTCAAACTCATACAGAGATATAGGATAATTTATCACCTTATTTTTCTGCCACTATAAAAAAAAGAGGGGGGTTTTGGAAAAGGGGTGGCGCATGTGAGCTGGAGATCCTATTACAGAGATCCAGAGTTTTTCATGGCAAGTTTTTTTGGAAGTTGGGGGAGGGAAGAAGAATCTGCAACTTTCCTATCCAGCTTAAACGACACAAATGGATACTTTATTACCGCTCTAAGATCACCATCCGCGTTTTCAACACATGAGGACATTTTGCGCGGCGGTTAGATTTTGGATAATGAAGGAATTCGGGAAAACCCAAAAGGGATCGGATGAGAAGTGCAGAATGAAAAAGTTTGGAAGGACTTCGGGAAAACTTTAAAGTTAGTTTTTTTTAAATTTACCATGCCGCTTTTGGAAACCTATCCTAAATCTAAAGAACAGAGCAACCCATCTTGGTCTTTCGGTACATTAGTTTGCTGAAGCACAAGAAAACAAAGTGATTTTTTTTCTCCCTTTTTTTGCGCAGTTGAATCCCCCCC